AAATTACAATTTAATTGGTCCCTAATCCTAACCCAACTGGTATTCCGAAATACCTTTTTCGGCCTTTCTATTCAATCTGTCATCTCTATTCAATCAGTCATTTCCAACTTCAGATGAAAAAGAAGAGAGCTGTCTGAAACAAAGGTTGAACCAGCTAAACAAACCAAAGCTAAGTAACAGCTTGAAAACTTTAAGTAAAAGTTTGGAAATTTACATAGAAAACATCACCTTCAATATACCCATGTGTATAAAAATTTGGCATGTTAATGACGTCACCATATAATACATTTGGTGTATTAATTGAAATACAGAAATTTGGTGTATGACTTCACCAAATAATACATTTATTACACTCAAACCACTAAAAGTGATATTACTTAACCACATTTGCAAATATTTTCCCTATCACCTTCACTGTCTAATAGGCTAAATTTCACAGATGGCAGTAGCTTTCATTCAACATCTATTAAATTGCAGTGCTTCTGCTGTTTAAGAGAGGATAGACTGAGCCTTTCAAGACAGTGAAAGAAAAGGTTGATCAAATAATCAAAAGAGCCCACTGAGAACCTTAGATACACTACAACATATTCTGCAGTTCTATGCCCTCCATAGAGCAAACTCTGACCAGAAATTGAATTAGTGAATTTCTTTAAACTTTAATCTTTTTATTTAAAATAAAAAAACAAATATAAACTCCAAAACAAAGGCCCCACAAATCCCACCCTGCAATCCAACCCCACCAACACAAATCAACAACCAACCTCCACCTCTACTTTAAAAAGAATAAACTAAAATAAAACAATAATAAAAATACAAATACAAAAATAAAAATAAAAGCCATAGTAAAATCACAAATTATTTTATATACTCCACTTGCCCACATATGATATTATTATTACTTCTACATATGATATTATTACTTCTATTTTATTAAAATTCAACTGTTGTAATTTCATCTTCATCTTTCCTTTTCTTTTTATTTCTTTCATCAGTTCACCACTTCCATCAAAAATATAATTGTTAACTATTTTAATCTTTCCAGGGAGCGCCGTTTGTTATCCCAGTCCTGTCTCAATATTTTTCTGTTAAGTCAAGCCATCCTTAAGGTAACAATATGTCCATTAGATTTTAACATGTTTCTCTCATTGAAAACGGCTCTCAAAAGATCCACAGAGGCTTTCTTGCATATTATCCTTCTTATATCGGCTTAATCTATATCTTTTGGTAAAACTTGAAACTTTAACATCTTCTTCATTGTAACATTAAGTGGAATTCTTTGTTTTTCCTAATTTTTAAGACGAAGTTGTATCAACTTGCCTACTTCAATCACATTTATTTATTCAAAAGCCTGATTTTTCAAATGCTGGTTCTTTTTTTTCTTTTTTTTAAAAAAGGCAATCCTTGATCAATCTGGTCTGCTACTCCTTTCTATTGTTCCTGTTCTTTTTCTGGGATTTGTTTTGTATCTGTAAAAAATTGTTTAGCTTCAGATAATGCTTGATTTTATTTCCTGCTGTCTGAAAATGCTATTTTTAAAAATTCCAATAGCTTTTGAGGGATTGGCATTTGTGACATCTTTGAGCAAGGAAGTGGTTAATTACAGATTTTCTAACTAACGGCAAACATGAATTAGTTGCTGTTGAACTATCCTAGTCCTACACAGAAGAATTTTGCTTTTCCGACAGATGTCGTAAATTATTCTGTCACAACTACTGTTCTGGAATGAAGACTATTTAAAATTCAGAGTATCTTGGTTTTGCTCTTTATCTAGAAGTATCACCTAACTGAGGATACTAATTGAGGATACTAATTGAGGATACCTAATTGAGGATACATGAGGAGACAGGAAAGCCTAGAGAAGACAATTATGCTGGGGAAAGTGGAAGGCAAAAGGAAGAGGGGCCGACCAAGGGCAAGATGGATGGATGGCATCCTTGAAGTGACTGGACTGACCTTGAGGGAGCTGGGGGTGGTAACGGCCGACAGGGAGCTCTGGCGTGGGCTGGTCCATGAGGTCACGAAGAGTCGGAGACGACTGAACGAATGAACAACAACATCACCTAATTAGTAATAAATTGTTTTCAATTCAAGGCTAGCTGGTTTATGCCTTCCGACATAAAAGAAAGGGCAGAGGACGTTTTCTTTAGCTTAACAAGCTAGCTCTTAAATCTTCAAATTCAAATTTTAACAGACATAAATGAGCAGTAGTGAATTTGTCTTGTTTTGACAAAATTCCCAACATTCACCCTCATGTTGATTTAAAATGCAAATGGAAGGATGTTTTATCTTATTCAGCTGTGTGGCTGAGGCCATTTTTGTAGGGGGCAAAGATGGGTACTGAAGCCTCCATCTTATCTGTGACTAATCCTCCCTTCAGGACTCGCAGATCACCTAAGACAAATTAGTGTCTTATCTTCCATAGTCTTAAAATATATTCCTGCCAGTTTTTGAACCCCCAAACCAGCTTTGTATCTGCAACTTGCTTCTCCCCCACAAGAGGCGATTAGGATGAACTTTAACTCCAGAGCAACACCCTCAAAGTTGGAATTAATCAATTTCTTGGAATATGTATCTGCATGGCACAGATATTTATTACATTACTACTTATTTGTTCCTACTGATAAAATTTTCATGCATATGAAAACGACTCGGGTCCAGGCTACTTGACTAACTGCATCTCCACCTACAAATTAACTCGGGCACTGCAGTCATCGGAGGAGGCCCTACTATCGGTTCCACCCCCATCTCAAACACAACTGGTGGGAACAAGCGAGAGGGCCTTCTCCGTGATCACCCCGCTTCTCTGGAACTCCCTTCCCAAAAGAAATAAAGCTGGCCCCTCCCTTCTCTTCTTCAAAAAACGGCTGAAACCTATCTTTGCTCACAAGCATACAGAGAGGAGGGGGATTAGATGAACAGAAACTACTACCAGTCTGCTGATTGGATAGTATAAGTGCACTCGGGCCTTGTTAGATCACATTAGCCCATTAAACAAATTTGGCCATACAATCTATGCATGCATCTGTGAAATTTTGTTTTGATATATTAATTTGGATGTTTTATGTTCAAGTTCTATGTTAGTTATAATTTTCAATTTATTATGCTTTATTTAAATTATAGTTGTAATGCTTAAGTTGCTCTTTATGTAGGGTTATATTGGGTTATTATATTTGTATTTACTGTTATTGAGGCATTGAGTGTTTGCCCTTCTGTTTGTTGGAATCCGCCCATGAATCCCCAGGGGAGATAGGGAAGAATATAAATAAAGTTTTATTATTTTTAATTATTACTATTATATCAGTCAAAGTCTATTTAAAAAGTAGCAGTATAGTCATACATTCCATGCACAATAGGAACCAGAGAGACAACAGGAAGAAATTCTCAAAGGAAAGGATTTCACCTATATTGGAAAACTAAATTGGTCTGAAAATATATTAAAGAAGAGTGCTTTTCACTGAACACTTTTTTGCCATATTGAAAATTCTCATCTGCAATAATCAGACCTTGCAACTTACTACTACTGCAATGATGACAAATACAAATCTGTAAGGTAAATGTATTACCAGCAAAAACTGCTTTATTTTCCACAGAAGTCGTAATAATTTTAAAGTCTGAATTAGAAATGCATTGCTACTGGCAAACCTTTTCTTCTAAAATGTAGTTGAAGCAGAAAATATATACAGTACTTTAAAGATGACTGCAAAAACCAAAATATACATCATCTGAGTATAAAGTTGCAAACACACACCCTAAGCAATTCCTCTGCTCCCCATGAAAGAATGATCTCATAATCATGTGTTTTAAAAAACCACAGAGAGAGAAGCCACAAGGTGAGAGTAGGGTATTTAGGTATTTCTCACATGTCCTATTATTTATACATCTCTAATACAAATTTTTGCACAAAAAGTAGTTAGAGCCTCACAAGGAACAAACTAGAAGACTCATTTTGTAAAATGAGCATAACCTTCTTTGATGGAATTTATTACAGTGGAGCACATTGGATAGATTAGATCTGTTTATCGATTAGTCCACTTACGATATCAACAATAAAAATCAAAAACAAAAATACACAGACAAATAGACACGAATCACTATGATGATTGGTGTTTTAACTAAAATAAATTAAAACACGATAAAATTTGATTAAATATTAAGTTTGGTAAAATGGGATTAAATTACATGATGAAAGGGGGGGGGGGGTAGAGTGACAAATGTAAAAGAGTCAGTCGGAGAATTTAGGTATCCAGACTGCTTTGAGACAATTCCCAATCCACATCTGTAAATGCATAGCATTAAGCTATCCATAAACATATGTGTATATTTTGAAGCAATTTAAAGCAAACTTCTTGAAGGACAATCAAGCATGCAGAGAAAAACAGTAATACTGCTCTCCACTCCATATTTCCTTTTGCAAACCCAGGTTTTCTTTTGAACTACATTGGAGAGCCAAGCAAAATGTAATCTATGGGTGTTGAAGGTATGAGGTATGGGCTACATGCATATCAAGACATGCATAATATCTCTCCCCTCTCTCCCTCCCAGTATTGAAAGGGAGTATCACTTCATAGCATGTTGTATAAAGCATAGTAGAATCAACCACCAAGACTGTGGCCCCTTCCATACAGCTAAATAAAATCCAACATTATCTGCTTTGAACTGGCAGTGTGAACTCAGATAACCCAGTTCAAAGCAGATATTTATTGGGATTTTCTGCCTTGATATTCTGGGTTATATGGCTGTGTGGAAGGACCCTGAGTTCTGGAACTTTTAGATAAAATTACAAATGCTTTTATATCACCAATTTATCACCGCAAGTATACAACAGGGAAGCATCTCACTTGCAATGCAAAAAAAAAAAGTTATAAGCATCCTTTCATTATATGTGCTTTGGCAAATTAAGAAAATATAATGTCAATCACTAAAAGGTGTGAGATATATATATATATATATATATATATATATATATATATATATATATATATATATATATCTTGGTGAAATACAGAACACAGGTAGAAAGTGACAGCTCAGGCTAAAACCATATTTATTAAATTTCCTAATAACATTAAGCACAACTTGTTCTAGGCTAACTACATTCAAGCACCACTCAATTAAATGAGGATGATTTAAGCACAAACTTGACACTGTCATTAAAATAGAACAAATATCGAAATTCCCACATTTTAATGGATTGTGCTGCACAGACCTAAATAGGCCATCAAAAATGTTTGTACAAATCCCCTTCAAAATATTTTCCCTTCCTTTTAAAGTACAATATGATCCCCCTATCCATGGATTTGATGTCCACTTTTTCACTTACCAATGCTCCAAAAATATTTCAGCTGGAGGTATTTGTGGGCCTCTCTGGACCCACCAGTGCGATTCTATGAGATGCTTCATGTCCAAGTACAATCAAATATAGGTTTTGCTATTATCCAGTTTCAGGTATTCACAGGGAATCTTGATATGAGGGTTGTACAATATATATACTGTATATATTAAAATAACAAAATTCTTACTTAGATTCAGTATTTTCACATTGTTAAGATTGTGCAATGCACATGCAACACTACAAAAGATATTTCTAGAGTCTATTTATAATTTATTTATCCCACTTAAAAGGTGGAGAATACAATATATATATATATATTAAAAATACACAGTGTTCTATACATGCTAAATCCATATAGTAATCACTATAATCACTGTAAGTATAATGGGTCCTACTTTGATGAATTCACATACTGAAATGCCAGCTAATTTACATTGCTATTACTACATGTTTAACTTAGGAAGCCATTACATTAGCTGGAAAAGACACCACAAATTTGCACTAATTCAGCAGCTATTAGAAAATGCAAATTAATTTCAATGACTTGACTATTCTACTCCACTCACAAGGTATAATCTCTCAAAAAGCTATCATCTACAAAAATTGCTTTTGATCTCAGTTGGCACTGAACAGAAGTCACATTAAACCTACAGATTACTCGCTTAGTGCAGGGGTCCTCAAACTAAGGCCCAGGGGCCGGATACGACCCTCCAAGGTCATTTACCCGGCCCTTGCTCAGGGTCAACCTAAGTCTGAAAGGACTTGAAAGCACAAACAACAACAACAATCCTATCTCATCAGCCAAAAGAAGGTCCACACTTCCCACTGAAATACTAATAAGTTTATATTTGTTAAAACTGTTCTTCGTTTTAATTATTGTATTGTTTTAAAGTGTTTTTTTTGCACTACAAATAAGATATGTGCAGTGTACATAGGAATTCATTTATCTTTTTTTTCCCAAATTGTAATCCGGCCCTCCAACAGTTTGAGGGACTGTGACCTGGCCCTTTGCTTAAAAAGTTTGAGGACCCCTGGTTTAGTGCATGCTCAAGTTGGCACTATGGCAGTTCTGAGTGCAAGGAGGGGAGATACACTGGCAAACTGTCTCTAAAATAAACTATAGATCTAAATAGCAGAGTCACAGATTCGAAGAGAGCAGGAAGCAAGATATAAATCATTCATTCATGTTACATAGAAAAATAAAATATACTTTCGTTGCAAAGAAATAGTTATCTTTAATTCCAAAACTACAGCCATTTTAAAAAACATTTCTGTATAAAAGACCAAACTACAAGAATGAAGCTGTCTTATACTAAAACATTTATTTTATATCTACTAAAACATAGCCGATATATCATAAATTACTTCTTTAAACAAAATGTATCTTAATACAACAGATTACTACATATTCATCCACATATATAATATGTGACAATGTTGCTATTGTTACTCAGCTCTGAACTGTTTAATTCATTCTGCTGAAGCATCCCCTTACATTGATTAGTCTCATTCATACACAAACATTTTATCAAAACTCCATTTCTAACAATTTCAGTATTCTTCAATAATTCATCCTTAAAACAACACATGCTCTTGCAAGTCATTTTCAAACCATAATACAATTTACAGAGAATGGGTGTTGCATTTCTGTTTTGGCAACATTGCAAAATATGAAATACTACCTAGCTTATATAGCCAATTTTATTTGATTGACAGTCTTAGTTCTCCTTAGATGGAGCAGGAGTTTGCCCGTTTTCTAGGAACCGGATCTTGAACAATACTGTCCTTTTTACATATACATGATGAACACACTGTCTCTGACAATCTCCAAAGTCCCAACCTGAAAACGCTATTTGAGAGGCTATATATAACACAGTTACAAAAACTATTGCTTATAGCAAGCCAGGTTGTTAAAAAAGAAAGTGCTGGATTGTCCAGCACCCTAGAGCTCTCGAGCATAAAATAGATGATGTATGGTAGCCACAGCACATAAAACACACTGGTGATACGAAATAAAACCATAGCATAGCGCCGATCTGGACTATGCCCATTTTCTGCAGCGGTATCCACTTCATGAATAGGAAAGCGAGCTCTCCTGTCATTAATCTCTTTGGTGTGCTGCCGGCAAATTTTAAATATGTGGAAATAAGTAAAACAGATTATGAAAGCAGCTGGAGCATACAGTAAGCATACAATAAAGCCCGTAAAATAAGCATTCGTTAGCCACGAGGCTGCACACCATTCAAAAATGTCTCCATGATAACCTGGCTTTCCCCAGCCAAAAAAGGAAGGCAGGAAGATAAGGCAGGAGTAAAGCCAAATCAAAACGATGCAAATTCTCAGTCGGCAAGGTGTGACCAACTGATTATAAGAAAGTGGTTTCGTGATAGCAAGGTAACGGTCCACACTAATGAAAGCAAGGCAGGCCATAGAAACACTTTTTAGTACAGAGATGATATATCCAAAAATCTGACAAGTCAATGACTCATGAACACCTGTAGAGTAGTGAAGCAACGACAAAGTAGGAACCAAGCAGCTAACTCCAACAAAAAGATCGGCGTATGCCATCGTTTGAATGAAATAGCTGGTGGTATAATGGTGTAACAACGGAGCACAGTGAAAGACACAAATTACTGTCAAATTACCAGCAATAATCAAAAATGTTAGTAAGACAATAATTATAGTTTCAAGAACACAGATGTCAATAGGGTTGTATTGGCCAAATCCAAAGGGGCAGGAGTGGTGAGCAGACACATTCCCAACGCTACTAGTCGCATTCAGAGTCTTCCACTCGATCCATGTGGACTGGTTCATGGTTTGTATTACATAACAATGTGGTCAGAACTCCATGTGGACTGGTTCATGTTTGTATTACATAACCATGTGGTCAGTAGATAGATAATTCGTCATTCATCTGTACATTTTGCCTGTGTAGATTTAGGACTGTTTCTGATGGGTTAAGATTACAATGAAGAAAAGAAGCAAAAAAGGCCACTATTCAGTTTCTTCCTGCGCTTCCTTCTTCAGAAAAAGACAAGGCACTTGTCTCCCAAGCTGGTCATTCCAACGGTACTTTTGAAAACACAGAAATAACAGAAATAGAGAAGCAAAACCCAAGTATTGCGATAAAAATCTCTAGAAGTGCATTTTCCTAGGGAGATATTTTTTGAAGAAAAGAACAAAGTGGGTCCCATTTGCAATTTGTTAGAAAACAAAGTTGAAGAATAAACTAATAAAAAAGTCCAGGACGAACTTCCTTCTGACATATTCCATCGTTTAGTTCACTGCAGGTGGTAATGTAATTTTTGCAATCTTTACTTACTCTGCATTAGCAATGGTATAATTCTGAGTATATTAATGCAAGCAAGCTTTTCGGTGACATCAATAAATGTGTCAGAGCAGTGATTAATTTGCCGCGAACAAAGCCATCTCTTCAATCCATGATGTTTTCTCCAGTTAGTTAATCACAAGAAAAGGCACACAAAGGCATGATGTTGATGTTCCGGCAACAGCCAATTCAGCTTGAAATATTCATGACCGTTTTAAAAAGTCAGCAGGATAATCCAAGGCTCTCACAAAATATTAAACTGTCTCGTATCGAATTCCAGGAATGAGAAAATGAAATGATTGTCTTTAGAAATACAGCCATAAATGCAACTGCAGAAGATCAATAAAGTGAAGTTCATAGCAGCATCCATGCTATTTCTCACCTCGAGAGCAACGTCCAAAGCTTTTCATATGCACCAACAAAATAAAATGATTGACTTCCATCAATTTTCTTCCAAGAAGATAATGCAATGTTGATTTGACAGGAAAAGCTGTGACTAATAGTCCATGAGGCTTCAAGCTACGTTTTCGCAGTTGCTTAGGCAATTAAATAATAGCCATCTGCTTCAAAACAAAAGCCACCTCTCTGTCCAATAAACAAAACACTGATACTCCCATTACATTTGGAGTTGGGATAGATCTATTGTTTAAGAAAGCTCACTCAAAACTCACTAATAAGCAGGTATTTGATGACTGAATGGATCTCCTTCAGTATATGCAGCAGTCTCGCTTTGTAACCCACCCACTATCCACACCCAAAGCAAATGCATCTTTAATCCTTTAAAGATGCAGGAGGCAATTAATCAATCCAAATCTGAAAAAAAAGGTCATTTCAACTGTATGTCAAATCATCACTCGAGGGCTTTTTTCCTTTCCTTTTGTAGAGTGCTGGAATCTCACAGGCATTGCTTAGTACTGTATTTTCTGAAGAAATATTCCTTACATGCAAAGGAAAAGGTATTCTCTGGTTCTGCTGCAGCAAGCATTCATCTTTAACTTTAATGTCTCATGATATGCTGAAGGTCTTTATATATTTTTTCCTTACATCCATGACATCTTGTCCATTATTCACTTATCAGTAAGCAGTTAAATCCAATATAAAATTACGCTCTCTGAAAGTAATTCTCTCGTCAAATCAATGCTTTGTCCCTATACATTTTGCTTTGTCCAAGACTGTAGAACAGCCAAATCCTGCTTGCTGTGATCAGTTTCCAGGATGCTCTTGCTATTTCTCATGCACTTGCCTGTGATATTCCTGCTTGCACCGAAGTCTGCCCCTCCTCTTCGCCCTGAGCTGATGCAGAAAAACTCGCCATCCAAAAGGTGACTTGGTCCTTCACCCTCAATCAAAAGTACAGCCAATGGCTACTGCAGCTGAATCTGTCACTAGGTAACAGTTGCCAAGCACAATGCTGGCATATAGTCTTCCACGGCAAGCCGGGAATAAGAATGACAAACGAAGACAATAAAATTGACCAAGTGAAATGAATACATTTAGCACTTAAAGGAAAAGGGTGTTTTTTGCGGGGTGACTTTCTTCAGAAATAAATATTCACAAGGATAACACTGCATTCTCCAACATCAAAGACATTTTCATTAGACCATAAACTACCAGTGGCTAACACAAGTCAGCAGTAATCTAATCCCCACTGGCAAGAAAGATCTATTAATTTTTAAACTAGCAAGTTAGTGGAGAAACCTCCATAACGATAAATGATTCTTGTGACATTTAAATGTCAATCTCGACTCTTATGGCTAGTAAAAATTACAACTCTTCCTTTTGCACTCAGATGACCCTAATAACCCTAATAAAAGCTTACCAAAAGGGTTCAATTAAAAAGTAATTCATACATAATAATAATAATAATAATAATAATAATCCTTTATTTATACCCCGCTACCAAAGCCCCCGGTGACGCAGTGGGTTAAAGCACTGAGCTGCTGAGCTTGTTGATCGAAAGGTCGCAGGTTCGATTCCGGGGAGCGGCGTGAGCTACCGCTGTCAGCCCTAGCTTCTGCCAACCTAGCAGTTCGAAAACATGCAAATGTGAGTAGATCAATAGGTACCGCTCCGGCGGGAAGGTAACGGCGCTCCATGCAGTCATGCCGGCCACATGTCCTTGGAGGTGTCTACGGACAACGCTGGCTCTTCGGCTTAGAAATGGAGATGAGCACCACACCCCAGAGTCAGACATGACTGGACTTAATGTCAGGGGACTACCTTTACCTTTACCTTACCATCTCCCCATGGGACTCGGTGCGGCTTACATGAGGCCGAGCCCATAATACAACAATACACACAAAACACAATAACAATACAATACAAAGCAATTAAAATAAATCTCATAACACAAAAAGCATAAACATTACAGTGCATAATTAAAATCATGGCTATTGTGTCTCCTCCCAGCTTTCTCTTCTTCAGGTTAAACATGCCCAGCTCTTTAGGTCACTCCTCATAGGGCTTGTTCTCCAGACCCTTGATCATTTTAGTCGCCCTCCTCTGGACACATTCCAGCTTGTCAATATCTCTCTTCAATTGTGGTACCCAGAATTGGACACAATATTCCAGGTGTGGTCTAACCAAGGCAGAATAGAGAGGCAGCATGACTTCCCTGGATCTAGACACTATACTCCAATTGATGCAGGCCAAAATCCCATTGGCTTTTTTCTTTTCTTTTCTTTTTTTGCCACTGCATCTTGCCCTCTCCCAGTCTGCTCAAAAATTGTTACCAGAGTAATGATATAATAATAATAATAATAATAATAATAATAATAATAATAATAATAATAATAATAAACCTTTATTTATACCCCACTACCATCTCCCGCAGGACTCGGTGTGGCTTACAAGAGGCCGAGCCCAAATACATTGTAAAACATAACAACAACAATACAACTATAAATAATTCATAACAAAGCAAAACAGTACAATAATGACACGACGCATTTAAAAACCTGTGGCAGGGCCAACTGTAAGGATTAAAATTTAAAATGCTGGGCATGTCCAAGGGAAATAGGAAAGATATTTTAGGGACAGGTGGGCGTGCAGACAGTTCTAAATCTCTCGTAAAGTGCATTTGATATTACTTCTTCCAATACTTTTCATAGAATCAAAGAGTTGAAAAGAGACCTTAGGGCTGCCCAGTCCACACACATACATTGCTATACAAGAAAAGCACCGTCATAGCACTCCGGACAGATGGCTTTCTATTTAAAAGCCTCCAAAGAAGGAACCTCCACCACACTCCGAAGCAGTGAGTTCCACTATTGGACAGCTTTTACTGTCAGAAAGTTATTCCTATTGCTTTTATATCCTTAGATGTAGTTCATCGTAGCTACAAAGAATTATAAGCTAATCAAAATACATCTGAACGATTATATTAGTGGGTTGTTGTAGGTTTTTCGGGCTATATGGCCATGTTCTAGAGGCATTTTCTCCTGACATTTCGCCTGCATCTATGGCAAGCATCCTCAGAGGTTGTGAGGTCTCACAACCTCATAACCTCTCAGGATGCTTTGCCATAGATGCAGGCGAAACGTCAAGAGAAAATGCCTCTAGAACATGGCCATATAGCCCGAAAAACCTACAACAACCCAGTGATTCCGGCCATGAAAGCCTTCGACAATTATATTAGTGTATTGCTGCTGTTGTAAAAATCATCCAGTTTAAGAAACACTCTTTCAGATGAAGGTATATTTAAACAAGATGTAAACACCTGTACACTGTCCTCCTGGCACGTCAAACCAGGATCCAGCACATCATTTGGACTAGAGGAGAAAACATGATGAATCTGTGCATACTGCATATATTTAATTTTACATTTGGCCTTCCCACAGTTTTTAATTGTATGTTGTCTTATTGATAATGTTATATGTTTACTGTTTATGTTTTTATTTTAATTACTTGTATTGTTGTGATTATTGCTTGTATTGTTGTGTTTGGGCTCGGCCTCATGTAAGCCACACCGAATCCCTTGGGGAGATAGTAGCAGGGTACAAATAAAGTGTTGTTGTTGTTGTTGTTGTTGTTATTATTATTATTATTATTATTTTGGTCAACTGGCTTTTGCCACCCGCCATCTGCAGCACTATTTGAGATATTCCTCCAAGCCCACAAAATATATTGCACAGTTAGAGGAAACACCAACATTTTCTCTCCAGGTTTATCCCCATCAAACACATAGAATGCTGCTCTGTGTAACTCTGAATTGAACCACTGAAACCACAGACTTCCAGAAAACATTTGACTATCAGTTTGGGCATTTTCTGGATTGCACTGATCATTCATGAATACATATTAACTAAGTGCTTTGCATGACACAATGCCAGAACTAAGAGTAGTTGGCATCAGAGCTTTGTATACAAGTAGAAATAACTGGCTGGCTAATGATGTCGAACTAACTAGTGATGCCTCAGGCAAAGTTACTGAGTGCAATACAATTTGTTTGCAGGATTTATTTTGCATTTCGTGACTAATGTTTATTTAGTGGTTTGTGAAAGGGTATTTAAGTCC